GCAAGAAAGCAAGAGCCTACCACTGTATCTAGAATAGATCCCAGCCCCTACTGTGTGTCGCTTTGCACTGGAAAGAAGAGTGTGATGTTGGTGCACGTTATTCAGGGATGGTAAGAGATCTCATTTATTTCTAAGACCAGTAAAGATATTTCAATAGTTAGTTGAATTTCTGGTAGCTTAAAAAAATATAATTTTTTGTATTCTCCTTGATCTCCCTGTCTTTTTCTCTTTTACATAAACAATGTAGGATAGAAGACTTAATTGATGGCATTTAAAAATGTGTGCATGGGGGTAATCTCAAAGCATCATACTGCTTATGTAAATGTGCGACTTCTAGGAAAACCATGTTATATATTTAAATACATATATATTGTGTTAACAGCATTGAAGGGTGTTCAGACATTGTAAATGTAGTTGTATTTCTTTCTTTCTTTCTTTCTTTCTCCTAGCTAGTTGCATGTGGCATTCTTGATGTGGAGCTGCCTGATGATAATTAAAACTGGGAGGGAAGGCAAGGAGAGAAGAGGGAGTTTGGTGATAAGGATTATAATCTGTCCTGCTGGTATGCCTTGGATTTCCTTCTCTGGAGAAGCATGGCATGCTGCCTGTCCTGCACCTGGCTGCTGGCTAAGAAGCATTGCTGAATACCTCCTGAATGCTGGGGGCCTGAGCAACTCCTCTCAGAACAGAGGAGGAGGATTTGTGTGGACGTGTCTGGGGTGGGACAAAAACAATGCAAAAAAAAATTTTTCTTTCCTTCCAATTTGGAAGATGACTTCACAAATGCTGTAGCTAAGCAGTGTTGTACAGCAGTGGGAAGTGAGGCGTTTTGCTTGAAATGGGATGCAGAAGGGGCAGCTATTCGTAGTGGTAAATCCATCGCTTAATCTCCAGCATGGCCCAAGAAGGGTTGTCCATGTTCAGCTGCCTCCTTTAAACAGGGCTGCAGCAAAGTGGTACTTAGGTGAAAAATATGTGGAGGATTTCCCAGAGGAAAAATCATTACCGCCATTTGCAGAGTTGCCTGCAGCATTTTGTCCTGTCATAAACTGTTGTGAGTTTGAAAGGGTTGCTGTATTTCCTTCGAAGATATGGTAATATTTAGTTGGCAAATGAAACAACCTTTTGTTTAGAAAGCTCTTCTGAGATGCCTTTGGGATGAAAGGCATCAGCAACGTTGTCGTTACATCTCTTGTGACTGCCTTGGTTGAGGAACTGGACTATGTGAGACTCGGTCTTAGTCTGAGCCAATTTACTGAGTCTTCAGCTCTTACTTTTTTGGCTTTAATTGGCTTCCTACTGCATGTCACATTGCATTTTCCTTTGGAAGGAGGATGTAGAAAGTCGACCTCCTTCTCTGGGCTGCCGAGAGAACAAGGTTTCTTATTAGGCAGAGCTGTCTAGTGTGGGCTGGAGGCAGCACCTTGTACAAGAGAGCACTGAAGCAGAATTGTGTTCTTTGCAGTAAGAATACCGTCCCAGTCTTGTGAGCAACTCCATAGATTACTTCTTGTCATGTTCTTTCATAAATGATATGAAGATACGTAATCGGTGTGATGATGAGGCTCCTAGGAGACTTTCTTTATCAATGATAATGTCCCTAATGTAGAAGGAAAGCCCCATCAGCTCTTCTCCTGAGGAGCTGGCGCTTGTTGAAAGTTTGAACAGAATGGTTGTTCTATAGGTCCTGTGTGATTTTGCTGCTCTGTTTTCTTGGCTATCCTAAAAACTTTCCATACCTCTCTTCTTTGAAAGGGTTTAACGTAATGACAGCAATAAGATGTTGCATCTTGGTGATGGGATAAATTAATTTAAGTACTTTGTGCAACGTTGGTAAGGAACGAGCACTAGCTCAAAACTGCGTAGGCTGTGTCTGGAGTGTCTTGCTTCTATATTATTGATATGTCAGTCCCCAACTTATTGTTGTATCTTGATACATACTTTACCTTTTGTTTTGGAAATAGTTCCTTGCTATTTCATCAGCGATCTGGTATCTGTAAAAATAGTTTGACATTTAAGCAATTAATCTTGTACTCAGACAGATTGGATGTCCACAATTGCACTCAGTGATATCAAGCCAGTTATTGAGCTCCTAGTAAACACACTTCTTTTTTTGTTTTTTTTTTTTCAGTATCATAAAAACCACCATACTAAATTGTTTGTGTTCTGTTGGGTTTTGTCACTAATGTATACATTCTTCTGTCCTGCTCCATCTGTTTCTACAGCTAAATGGTATTCAAATGAATTCATTAAGAACATGTCACCTTATATTAACATTGAAATATATTAGGTGTCATGGAAAATAAACGTTCCCAATAAATTTACAGAGTGTGAAGATCTCATAAGAAGATTTCAGAAGAGCTGAACTTTGCTCTGGGAAGTTGGAGGCGGGGGTTTATGATTGTAATGTGGGGCAGTGCAAGAACAAAATATTTGTAAAAGCTCCCGTTTATCTGCCAGAGCAAAATAGAACTTGCCTCTTTCCAAGGTTGGTGTCTGTAGCTCAATGCCTTCTGCTGCACTTACATGAAATGTTAATCTCTGATGCACGGTGAAGAACATAACTTGTTTAGCAGCTAGGGACACTCTTCTGTCGATTGCTGCAGGACAAAAAGCAGAGCATTGGATTCACGGCTTGCTAGATTCTGAGCCTCTTGGGTCACTCAAATGGCAGCTCATCCCTGAAGTATTCGTCCTGCGTGCACTCCTCCTTACCTGTAGGCACTCAGAGCACAGCAGCTGCTTTGCATTAAGTTCATATCTTCTTAGCTTGTGATGCTGTCTCTGTGCTTCTGCCTCACAAGTCTCTGTGCCTCTGTCTTTCCCTTGTGCCTGCCTCCTCTTAGAAAGATGCCAATCACCCCTACCTTCATTTAATGTCGAAGAGTCTTTAGTGAACTTGGAAGGAAGAGAAACAGAGCTGTCTGTGCTAATCTCAAAGACAAACGTGTTGCCCTTGCCGCATTAGCCGTGCTTTTGTCACCTCTAGATTGGATTAGTGCAGTGCACAGTATGTGGGTCTGCAGCTGAAGGCGCATGCAGAACCGTGTTGTCTGCTTGTTTTAGTGTCACAGGAGAGTATTTTCTAGGGAGAAGACAATGTTTAAGAGCAATGCCCTCAGTCAAGATCCTGAGCTGACTTCTTGCACTGGTGTGATCAGAGCCACTTTGGCTGTCGGACAGTGCTTTGAAGCTTACCTGTTGTTCCTGCTTTCTGTAAAAGGAAAAGTTAAAGGATTAAATGGAACTAGAACGTAAGGTCTATGAGAAATACAGTAACTGGAGCCTTTCAACTATCTTTTTTTTTTTCTTGGTTATTTTTCCATATTCTGGATTTTGATATATGGTGCTTGTGTTTAGAGATATACCCTTAAACACCTGTGATTGAGAACAAGATGTAGATAGTTGAGATTCTTCCTTTTCTGTTCACACTGGGAAGACGCAGAAAAGTCTAGCTTCTTTATTAAGACTAGTCCATCGCTTGATCAGGTATGTAACAGTTTTTTGGGAAGGGTATAAAGTATAAGGTATAAGTGAAGTAAAAGATCTGTTTTTAATGCAGATTGGTGTTATTGTAATGAAAGAGTTGACAATACTCTTTATACTGTGTTGACTATAGAACATCACAGCACTCAGGAAGATAGCTTACAGGAGTGAGCCTATGCATATGAACAGCCTGAAAAACAAGGAATGTGCTGGGAATTACCTGTTCTTATCAGCTGCAGAGGTGAAGACAGCATCAGTCCTTGGTTCAACTGTTTGCTGAACTGTAATTGGAGACCAAAATCTGCTTTTCATCTTATAATTCTACTCGATGTGTACAGCTCCTCATGTTGTTTTTAAATACCCACAGATGATCTTGATTTTTGAACACATCCCACTCAGTGCTCCTCTTTATGACAAGCTTCCCTGGGGATGGCTTCTCTCTGTGAGAGTGACTTCATTGCCCAACCTGGGGTTCCTAGTGGCATAATGGCTCTAAGCCACTCTAGTGTGCAGTCTTGAGTACTGAATACATCAAGAGATACAAAGGGAAGGCTCGTCGCATATATGAATGTTCATGTTGCTAGCTGGTAGCTTTACCAATGTGGCTGATGAGCAGTTGTAAGTTACTGGACTTCACCAGTGTGTGGGCTGTTTGTTTAAACATGATTTGGCCTGATCCCAGATCAACCTAGTGGTCCAACTGCTCTTGGTATTACTATGATGGTCTACTTGATTTTAGCAAGATCAGTGTTCTGGCTTCTGTTTTGCTATGCTGCTGAAATATTTAGTTGTGGATGTGGAGCTAGTGGGATGTCATAAGAGTTTTGTTGTTCCTCTTTGGAGATTGGGGTTAGGTAGCATCCCTCCCTCACTGAAGAAGTTTCAATGGCTGGAACTATGAATCAAAGCAGTTCGCTCTTTGCGAAAGAGAGAACCCATCAAAATCCATGCCCAGCTGTTGGGGTTATCATTTGAGCTACAAAGCCAAATAGACCAGTGTCCTTCCATGTCTTTACCAGGTTCTCTGGCTAACTTAAGCAGTTCACACTTTTGCCTGAGGCCTTGCTGTCCCTCTGCAGAGCACTGCCATTGCTCTCCTTTTAGTTAGACAGTCTCTGTCTAGTTAAATGGACACAGGCTGAGCCCCATGTTTTCCTGCACTCTGGGGGGAGCATGCTCTGTTCCTGCTTCCGTGTTCTGAGACTTCCATCAAAGATGAAATGTGTCTTGGAAACAAGCGTGGTTACAGAAGTCTGTTCAAGTAATATCTGTTGAAATTAGTAATTCCTTACTAAATAAGCAATGAAATAAAGATTGCCCACACAAAAATTGGTGTTTTTAGGGCTACTGTTCCAATGAGATTAAATATTAATAGGAAAGATTGCGCTTAGTAGTTTTAGCTTTCTGAGGAGTGTGCCCAGCCGTATTCTGTATCGCTCTTTTTTTGGACAAAGCCTAGCCTGGTAATGCTTCTGTTAACTGTCTGCTTTCTCTATCCTTATACCCCAATGTAGCTTTCTGCAGAGGACGTATTGTGAGAGTGCCCAAAAGCCCTCTTATTCGAGTCGTGGGCACGGAGGTGGTGATCCCTTGCAGCGTTAGTGACTACGATGGACCCAGTGAACAGAACTTTGACTGGGAGTTCTCCCGGGCGACTGATTTCTTGAGGATAGTGAGTACCTGGGATTCTACGTTCACCTCTGAGGAGTACCAAAAACGTGTGGGCCGCGGGGATATCAAACTGAGACGGAGCAGCAACGATGCTGTGGAACTCGTGATTAGAAACATCCAGCCAACTGACCAAGGGATATACAAATGCTCCACGCCCAGCACTGATGCCACCGTTCAGGGAAATTATGATGCTGAGGTCCAAGTGAAAGGTATTTTTGAAGAGTGAGGTGTGCTCTAAGTTTGTTTTTGGTATCAGTTATAGTTATACTTCTAATAATGTTAATCTTCAGTTGCTTATGAGCATTGTGATTTATTTATTTTTTTTTTTCCTGTTGAGTTCTCCTAAAGGCAAAATCCAAAATTGGGAATTACAGTAGTAGTGATGGCATGTAAGGTGCCTTTCCCTTCCTTTCTCCCCTCTCTGTCCCCCCACCCCTTTAAATGGGAAAACTAAGCACTGGGTTTTCTTAAGATGTCTGCAGATACTTTTGGTTACTAAGCCTCTTAATAGAGGGGCTAACTTCAGGTGAAAACACAGCTTGTGTGCTCTCCTGTTTATAGCATCGTCTAGGAATCTGTATGAAGAAAGTAATCTTCCCTTTTCTCTTTAGCGTATTGTTTCTTCAGTCATGTCCTAGCCTTGCTCTGTCATTTAGAATTCTTAAATAATAAACGGGGAGATTTCTATTTATTTATTTTTAATTCCTAGTGTTATGTCTTTTATTCTTGTGAAAATGAATGTGTTTGTGGATGGGAATAACCTGAATGATACTGCTTGAATGAGAAGCTGTAGTAAGAAGGAAGGTCATTGAAGTTTAGTGCTTGTCTTAGCTTGTTTAAAGTGGATCACTAATGAATTTTCAACTTAATTTCCTTGCTCCTGGAAAATACTTGTATGGAAGAAGAAATGGTTGGAGACACGGTGTCCTCTCAGAGTAGATCAGGATAAGTGTTCTCTCCTCGCTTCTGTTTTATGATGCTTGTGTTTTCTGTTTGTTTTTTTTTTTTTTTTTTTTTTTTTTTAATAGTGATTTCTGATGGCTTATCAGTGAGTGGTTCAAAAGCACGTTCCTCAGCATCTCTCAAGCTGTCTGAGGGCGACTCTTTCAAGTTACGCTGCTCAGCAATCACCACCTCACCAGAGCACACTCACCTACATGTGACTTGGCAGATCAAAAGTGGATTGTCTTGGCGGGACATCCTGTCTTTAACTCATGAAGGCAAATTCCAGCCCGGCCCTGGCTACGAAGAGCGCTACCGTAATGGAGATATCCGCTTGGACACAGGAGCAAATGACACGTATCGATTGTCTGTGTCCCAGGCCTCGTCAGCCGATGGGGGTGTCTACAGGTGTCTTGTGAGCGAGTGGGTGAGAGGGGCAGACAGCTTATGGCAGAAGATCCAAGAGAAGAGCGTGGAGATAGCAAGTGTGGAAATCCAACGGACCGGTGAGTGCTACTGATGGGTTGGGATCACAGCTTCCAGCTGAAGCAGTGCTGTGTCCAGAATGTCATACTTTAAGAGTAGAAATTGGATAAGCTGAACTGAATGAGCCTGCCCTTCGGGAGAGCTTGATGCTGTTTGTATAGCTGGCCTGTTTACATCTAAGTTGATATCAAATTCTTGGCATGATTTTGCTAGCTTTTTTGGGGGGAGGGGGAGCACTGAGGACGATGATGTGGAAGAATTGACTGGAATTTCTTACATGCCTAGACTAAGATTTTTATCTTAGACTTCCTCTGTTCTTTATGTTTCTTAAATAATGTTGTATTCTGTTCTATATGTTTCTTTAAATAACATTGCATTCAACTACTCAACACTCCAAACCTACCCTCTATGCTCTTGTTGATGTTGGGTTGTCTGATAGCACTAAACAGCTATGCTTCCTCTGTAAAAGTGGATTGTGACTCAGTGACAGATGTGAATGTTATGTATAAAAAGAAAATAAAAAGTCTGGGAGGAAGGAGAAAGGCAAGGATAATTTCAAAGGACAAATTATCCAGTGATTTCTATCACCTTACACTGGATCACTGGGCTGATTGCTACACTTTGTTGTCGTGGCCCTTTTAATCACATCATTGCATGCTTGACTTAGGAAACAAAAATATGTGAGCTGTGCTGAGGATGTCCAGATATCTCTGTCTATATACGTTTCAGGAGGAGCTGTACTAAGCACTTAATTGCATTAGCATTACTGCTGCTAAGTAAAGGGGGAAAATGAGAGGTGATGCATCTTGTCACTCAGTAGGTGGAAAAACAAGCAGCAGTAGTCCCTCAGAAATGAGGTTATGACAGTATTTTCAAGTCTTCATACAATAATGATATATTTTCATTTTTGTAGTCTTGCAGACAGTGTAGGGAAAACTCAGAACTGCTGAATTTTGATTGGCTCATTTGGATGTAGTTTTAGTATTCTGACAGTACTTAGCTTGTGAAATCGGACAGGACCAATCTGCCCCTTCTTTTCAAGGTGTCTGTTAAACAGTAAAAGCTTGCAAGTAGTATCTGCTGAGCCAGGGTTGCTAATTAAGAGCTGTAAGCATCTATTTTCTTGCACTTGTGGAGAGTGTTCTGGCCATCGTCATCCTGTTTTCAGAAACTGATTAAATGCTACCTATTTAAGCCACAGCTAGCAGTAACTAATGGGGGAGGTTTTCAGTGTTTGTATACTTGGGTTTTTCTTTTTTCTGTTTGGCTTGGATTTTTTTGGCCTTCATTTTCAGCTCAGTAATTAGCACTGGAACAGCACTGGAACTTTGTCAGGGGCATGAAAGCTTTCTGGCTTTCCGGATCCCCTCTTAACTGCTATAAATTCTAGGGTTTAATTTGTAGAAATAATTTTAAAAAGTCTTTTTTTTTTTTTAATGTAATGCAAAGGCTGGTGTCTAATTACTTGTGTAAGTATCACAGCTTTTGTAACTCTGTTTCTTGCCTCTGGTACTCTACCTACCTTCCTACTACATTCATCTCCTTAAATCGCAACCTTTGGACCTGACTTTGTGTGTCTTTTTCTAATAGTCCCTTGCATAACAGGAATGTAACCCTAAGCGAGCCCTTCACTTCAGCTCACTTCAGCCCTCCTGTAAGCAAAAAAGGAGCCTTGAGAAAGCACATTTTAATAAGTTCTCTCAGATTCCCTCTCCATGGTTATACCACCAGGTTCTGAATGCTTGTGACTGATGCGTGAAGACAGAAGTGCTCCGTGCTGAAATGCTGTTCTTAACCTTGCAGAGGAATCTTAATTTATATTCTGACATTAGTCTATTAAATTAATTAAGCTTTCCTACTGTTTCCAGTCCTAATGAGGGAAGTCTCAATAAGACACTCATCAGATAGGAGACTTGGCTTTTTGCACTATCAGGTGGTGAGCAGTGAGCACTGCTTGGTTTTGATGGCCATAGTTGTGGCCATTCAAAATTCAGTTTGGCTCTAGCTTTCCGTCTTTCATTCCTGATGATCATCCTAGAAAGCTTTTACAGGTGGGTATGTATTATGTGCTTACCACATGGTTTTACATGTAAATCCCTGATCTGCTGTTAGCTGTCTGTGTAAGGTAGGAATCGTGTAACTACTGAGGACAGCTACTTCTGTAGCAGCCCAGTCTGCTGGCTTTAGTTAAGATGTTTGAAGGAGAAGTGCATTATATACTGTGGAGGTGGTGCTGCTCTGACATCCAAGTCTGATTTGGACAATGTAGAATGCAAGTTAACTAGCAAGTTAAAAGGTGGTGGTGTAGCAATTGGACAGATCATTATGATGGGAAAAGGTGTTTCACCAGAGGTGTAATGACAAAGGATCAGCACAATGGAAAGATGCTATAAAGGAAGGGAAGAAGATTCCAGGTTTGCAGGGGAAAGCTCCACCAAGGAGGGGTCTCCAGAAAGCAGCAGTCAGGCTTTAGATGAGATCTAAGAGAGGTGCAGCCAGGCTCCACCCTGTTCCGATCACACAGCTGAATTGCCTTCACCTGTGCTCCCAGGGCTGACCCGGTCCTTTCCCCAGGTGATCAATCAGTGGTTCAGGCTGACTCCACAGTTCCCATACAGGGGGCCAGGTAATTTGTGAATGATTTGCACTGGGGTTTACAAAGAGCGCCTGCAGCTTACCACTACCACTAGTCTTACCACTAGGTTTTCTATTCCTAGTCTTGATGCTTACGTTCTATCCAGCTTAGTAAACTACAGAATGCAGAGGGCCCCATTTGAAGGCTGACCATGTGTGCTGTATGTTAAAAATAGTCACTAGCCACGAGAAGAGTTTGTTAAATGTGTTTTTAAGTAGCTGTTGGCATTGTTTTAAAGTCTCCGGAGTGTGTTGGTCACAGCATTAAGCTGTGAGTTAGCAGGATAAGTCATTATTGCTGCCATCTGTTCGCTTCCCTTTCTTGCTTCTGCAACACACCAGTGGTCAGTCAGAACTTCAACATGTGGCCATAGCTGCTGCACATCTATATCTGTTCTCATCAGTGAGCTCAAAACCATTTCAGCAGATATAAGTTGAGTTCTAATATAGTTTCTTGTGATTTCAGTGAACGTTTTCTCTTCTGAGAGATAGTCCCGAAACACCTCAACCCCCTGTGAGAATGAGAAACCTTTTTGTTTTCCTGCTATTTGAAGGTGATGTGTATATTCTGTGTTTGGAACATACAAAACAGTGTTTTATTTTTTTGCTTCAATTTTTGTCTCTTCTTTTCCAAGCTCTAGATGTGCTCATCTCAACAAGCAATCTGTCTGTAACTGAAAGAGACTCCCTGGATCTTACCTGCAACATCACAACAGACAGGAGTGGTATTTTCCAAGCTGAAGTGACGTGGTATTTCTCTGAGTCACCCGATGATACTTTGTCAGATGCTCAGGTTTTGTTGAGCATGGACCATGATTCTGTTGTCAGCGATTCAACTCTTATCAGTCTGAGCCATGTAGATAGGAACTCCTATCGCCTGTTGGTGCGTGATGTGGATGTGGAAGACTCTGGGTACTACTTCTGCCAAGCAGCTGTCTGGGTGCCCCTGCACAATGGGAGCTGGCACAAAGTGGTGGAGAGGACATCTGCACCGGTCAGTGTGGTGGTGACAGCATTAGGTGAGTGATTTTGTTTTCAAACTTCATTGGATCTCTTCTGGGCAAGTTCTTATCACGTTTGCATTTATCACCTGTATGTAGCATATCTATCTCTCAGATATGAAAACGTACTGATCTATTCTGTGGAGTTTGGGATTTGTATACAATGGGATTTTAAAATCTCTAACTGCGTGTCTTACCCCCGCACCCCATTTTCTGATGTCACTGAACAGGCTGTAACTGGGAAACAGAACTTAAGAGCCTGGGCTCTTAAGGGCTAAAGCTGCCCCTGGTGTCATGTTGTCCCCTTTCATCTCCCTCACACTGTCAGTGGGGCTCTGACACAGCAGCAGGCATTCTCTCAGAGTTCCAAACAGAGTGGTATCAGGTGATTCCCATGATTTTTGTGATTTGTATGCTATAAAAATTATTTATAATGCAAACTACATAATGGTCTCTAATAGCTTCCAAAGTTGTTTGGCTTTTTGTTTGTTTTATCGCTAGAGACAGACCACATCTTGCTGATGGATTTAGGATGGGGGAGGATTTTATACTGCTTTATTTTCTTTCTTCAAGAGAAGTTCATTTTAGTAGACCACTTTACCTATTGATTACTGTGAGTGAATGAGGCAGACTTGACTAAGAACTAACATAATTCTGGAATTGTTGATTAGCGTAGTGGTCATTAGAACAGATTTTCCTCATTGTCCTTTATTTATTTATTTATTTATTTATTTATTTTTGCAAGGGACTGGCTAGGAGGGGCTGTTTTTAGCATTTATTCTTCATTTACAACTTCTTGAACTTAAACTGAACTGGGGGCACAAACCGGAGGTCAGAGGTTTAACAGGCTTGTCTGATCTACCTGACCTACTAGAACAGGCTGGCAACATCTTTCCATACACCCTGGTCCTGAGAATAATGTGTTTTGGAGATCCAGTGGGACATGTACATGCTGAAGACAGTAAAGTTTTTACTTTATACTATCCTTGCTGAATGTTAAATGTTGACTGTATCTCTTATGCAAATAAAACAGAATTGTAGGTGTTGGAAGTGACCTCTGGAGATCGTTGAATGCTACTAACTCTGCAGTTTCCCTGCAGTAGGTTATGCAGGAAAGCATCCAGGTGCTTCTTGAGTGTCTCCGGAGCAGGAAATAATCCCTACAAGCAAAGTAGCTTGGGAGCAAAAATCAAACTCTGGAAAAACTAAAAAGCCTACCTTTGTAGAGATAGAGTAGGTAGGCTGAAATATCTAGACCTATCTCCTAGTTTACTCATGAAGAGAGAATAACTTCACTTTGGAAGCAGTGCAACTCAGGATGGTGCTGCAAAGTGTTGTGGGCAAGGCATTTCCACCTGCTTCAAGTCATGAAGTATTGCTTGTATTGGAAGCATGAACAAATTTGGATGTGAACTGGAGGAAAACTGACAGAGCTGTTGTACTTGACATTCCCAGCAGCTTTCACTGGATGCAATTATCTGTGCCAAAACTCTTGCTTACATACCTGTTTGGAGCCTCTTGTAATCAGGGGCTGATAGTACCATCAAGTTACGAAAGTGAGCTCATCCTGGGTGGAGACACAGGATTGGGCCAGGGTCAGTGTATGAAAGGGCCTACTGTGAAGACTGGTTTTCAGAAATAAAACAAGATTAAACACTGGTAACAATGACTTTACATTTTGCATTTTAGCATTGCACAGAGCAATATAGCCATGCCTCTTTCTTGCATACTTGTAACGTGTGCTAGAAGTGCACGAGTGATATCGATCTTCATTTCCCATTTTCATTCAGCCATTCAAGTTATACATACAAGCTGTGAGTGCTCTCTCCTTCCCCCATGTGTTCACATGTACACATACACATGCTCATGCATGTACAGGTACTCTGCATATTTGCATACTGTATGGTATTGCTGGTGCCTGTGGAACTATTCCTTACTCTTTCAGTTCCAATTGGATGTTATCTGGGGACAGGAGAAAATAAAATCTATTATTCAGTAGGTGCTTGGTTGCTAGGGTGAGGGAAGTAGAATAATTTTTCAGTGTTTGAGGTTCTCAGCTGCATCCAGAATTCACCAACTCCTCGTCTTTATGGAAGTTAAGAGCTGCTGGGGTATTAAGTCATTGAACTGTCAGTGAGGCTGCTCTTTGACAGCTGACAGAGCGGAGGAATGAGGTTTATCTAGCCAGCCTTTTATTCTTTCTAAATCCTCTGCTTGAATGTCTGTCAGGGTGAAGCGCCTATCTGGAGTGGTGTCAAATCCCAAACTCTCTGCTTAGCGGTCCTTTTCCTCCCCACAAATAAAGCTACCTGAAGTGATTATCAAAGAACTTGAGTTTCTTGCAGCTTTTTCCTTCCTTTATTCCTAACTTGAGAAGAGTTTCTGCTTTCTTCATCTTTGTTGCTGTGAAAGTGTTAACTGATCTTGACTGTGTTCTTTTTTGGTGAGGAAGAAGAGGGAGAGGGGGAGGGGCAATGTATAGTGAGGCCTTGGACAAGTGTAGTCTTTTGTGAGTGAGACAGGAAGGGCAATGTAGCGGTAGGATCTGTAGGCATTTACTTATAGCAGAAATGGAGTTTGACCACCATTAATAATCTATGACTTGGTTGCAGCAGAGGGATTGTGTTTTTCCTTTGTATTACTTATACTGAGAATCTGCACAAATCTGTGCTGAGGTTCTCTATATAGTGAATAAAGAACTAGTGTACGAAAACTTTCAGCAGGTATCCTAATAAGTACTAAGTAGGCTAATGGTCAGAGGTGCATAGTCAGAAGAGCTTCGCAGAATGGCAAAGTGTATGCTGATATAGCTTTATTGTACTGCTACCAGTTGTAAGTATTACGGGCTTAGGTAAATGGTACTTTCAAGCTTTTGTATTACTCAGTGCTGCAGAAAGACAGTGATTTATATGCTCCAGTGTCCAGTCTGTATGGATGCCCTTGTTCTTGTTAGATGCAAGGACACTGCATGCCTGCATGCATAGCACTTAATGGGTGGAGGTCCTTTCTTCAAATGGGCTTAGCAGCTCCAAGTTGCTTGAGTAGAATTGTTTCTGTTGTTTGCAACTGAAGTCCAGAAGTGCGTGTGCATACACATTAGTGCAGCAGCTCTATTAAGATATTTTATTATCCTGGCTTGCTGGTGAGCTAAGTCTAAGTTTCAGCCTTGGATTGCCTTCTCTGTCCCAATTATAGCTTCGGTTAATTGTTTCTGGGAGGGCAAAATGCCAAGTACAGCATAAAGCAAGAAATAAATACGGAGCACTGAATGCACTTACATTATCAAATCCATGTGATCAGTATTGGCTGAGCAGTTGGAAGGCTGGTCTTCTTTCTGAATAACAGTAGACAGCAAGAGAGACAAATATTCTAATACTAGTAAATAAATAAACATGCATTTCTTTTGTGGAGAGAGGTCTTTGCCATAATCTTTTTTCTTCACTATCTACATTGAGAGAAAGTGGTCATGGGGCTGCCTTGTCTCCTCCTGGACAGCCAACAATTTTGGATTTAAATACAACAACCCCTCTTTTTAGTGATTTTTTTTTTTTTTTTTTTTTTTTTTTTTTTTTAACCCATGCATTTCAGATGCACCTTTTCAAGCTTAAGAGTTTCCAGCCTTGCGGCTTTGCAGTTGCAGTGCAGGTCTTTAGACAGAGATGGCTGTAGGTCTGAAACTGAATCCAGACTGTGGCTTCTCAGGTCCTGAAGAATGGGGTGTGATTTAACTCAATAAGATCACTTTGTCCTGATATTTCTGAAATGGTCTGACTAAATATACGAGGCAAGAGATCCTGTTTGGAACTGTAGGCCCAGAGAGGCTTACTTCAGACCAGTACGTGTCTGAGAGCTGAAGTCCGCATTCACAATTCCCAGGACTTGTAAGAAAAGTACAGATTCTGGCGCTTGGTCTTTATGTCAGGTGCTGTCTCAGACTGTTAGCAGTACCTTACTCAGTATTAAGCTCTGCTGCTTTCTCCTTTCTGCTTGTGGTTCTCACTTCTGTTGTTTTTTTCTTCTGCAGAGCCAGATTATGAGGTGTTTCTGAATGCTTCCAAAACACCCAAGTTTTCCGATGACCCCACAGAGCTGGAGTGCAGGATCACAAATGTACAGGACACCGAGGCAGACATCCGCTTCTCAGTTTCCTGGTACTACAGGCGGCACGTGCTCAGTGACGATGTGGTGGCGGAGGAGCTCCTGGCCACTATGGATGCAGACTGGACTCTGCTGCTTGGGGACAGGAGCAGAGAGAGGACTCAAAATGGGGAAATAATCTTCTCCAAAAAGGCTTTTGACACCTTCAGTTTACGGATCCAGTGGACTTCAGAAAATGACAGAGGGGATTATTTCTGTGTCGTCTCTGCGTGGAGTCGGCACCGCAACAACAGCTGGATAAAGAGCAAAGATGTGACTTCTGCTTCTGTCCCCATTTTTTGGGCTACACAAGGTAGGAACCTTGCACCTATTCACTGGAAGACCTGGGCAGCTAAGATATTTTTCTCTTGAGTAAGTCCATCAACCAGAAGGCCTGCTAATGGGCTTTGGAATATAGCTCTTTGTTGTGAAGAAAAAAAAATCCTATTGGCTTGCGTAAAGGCTTCTGTTTTTGGCAGTAAATACTTAGCAGTACGAACCAGTTTCATGCAACAATTTGAAGAGGAGGCACAAAACAGATATATCAAACTGCACAGAGACTTGCAGGAAGTAGGCTGTCATTGTGGCAGGCAGTATCTGGCAGTGATGCTGGGGTCACTGCTCACTTTCATGAATCAGTGTTTCGGTCTCACTAGGATGCATCTCATTGGTAGCAACAGAGTGATGTGTGTTAAAAAGGGGAATGTCACTCACCTTGTCTTCTTTGGTTGCCGATTTGATTGTGGGAGTTTGTTTTCCATCTCTTCCACCTTATATTTACGAGCACATGTTCAGTCAGCACTTTTGGAGAAGTTTGGTTGTAGTAGTACAAGAGCATAAAAATGAAATAGTAATTAAAAAAAGAAGTGCTTTGTTTGGATCTTAACCCTTTTTAAGCAGGAATGAACTACCTCAGATCAGTGTTTAAACCGTCTTTGGGAGCATTTCTTAAGAGCTAAGCAAAGGTACCTGAAACCACTGAATACTAGTTTAAAGTGAGTGCATTCAGCCTTTTGGCTTAAGCATGAAGTCATACGAGAGGAGTCTGTTAGATGGGGAAGGAAGAAGTAGGATAGTTTAGGATGTAGCATCTTTGGCAAAATCTCGGTGCTTAGCTAAGCTGAATTTACCCCGATAGAATTCTCTAGCAGGAGTGAGATCTCTCATAGATGCTGAGTACTGGTCACAATTAGTTCAAATATGCCATAACACTGTGTGTCTGTGTGTGTGCATGTGCATGCATGCGTAATGGATGGTTGCCTTCAGAGCAGCTAGAGAAACCAGCTGGAGTTGAAAAGTCTCAGCCTGTGTTGACATTCCTGTGGGAAAACAAACCATGACAGGTGTGAACGTTCCCTTGTTCCTGGTTTTGTTCCAAAATCTCTGCTAATTTTGCATCACAAATGCAAATGTTATAGTCCTCAAGCTGAAAAGTACATTTGTTAGCAAAACTTGGAGTTAGGGGATTTATGATGTGAAAGCAAAATCCTACACAGACTCCCTTTTCCTCCTGAGAAAACATGTTGTATGTATGTAGAGGGGGAAATATGTAGATTTGCTTTTCCCTGATTCCCTTCCATACCCCCTCTTTTCAGCAATCTGACTGCAGATGCTTTTTTTTTTTTGCATTCCCTGCATTAGCCAGATCTGTGAGCTCCAGGCACGACTTGTTAGCCTTGTGCTGTAGCCAGTAACTATGAAGCTATGAAGGAGTTAATCTGCTGCTGCCTCTGCTCTGTGTTGTTTTGATAAGTATCTCTGGTGATTTGAGTCCCTAACTGCTCCCAGTGCTTATAAAAGCAAGCAGACAGGCTCCCATGTGTTTGCCTAAGGAGAGAACCAAAATTTGCCTCTTCCTTGGATTGCTAGTGCCTATGTAGAAGCTTTTCTTCCAACTATTTCATTATTTGCATTGTCTGTATTAACTTCAGAGCAGTGCTGGGGGAAGGGAAAACAGAGGGAGGAGACTTTAGAATGATCCCAATTTGGAAAAGACATTCTTGAGTTTTTGAGAAAGACAAAATAATTTTTGTTGCAGCTGTGAGACGGTCAGTAATGAGGGGTGTTCAGGATAAGGAGGCCCTTTCTTGAGATGTAAATGTCAAATGAAGATGTCAAAGTCCCTTTTCCTCATTTTATAATAAATTGTATGCTTGCCTGTTTGCACTTGAGGCTTTTTATCCTCTTTTTCTATTCTATTCTGCTGGGACCAATAATGCTCATGTGTCTTTCTGCTTATTCAGCTTTGCAAATGCAGCCAACCACTATCACACATCACCACTGTTTTTGACACGCTCTGTCTCATTTCTGTTTCTTTGCCTTTTTCTTTTACTCTCTGTCCCTCACCAAAGGTAAGAAGGAAGAAAGCATCTTTATCTCACAAAAAAAAAAAAAAAGGAAAACATAAATTATAGTATTGTTTTTAGCTTATATATTTATTGGAATCTGTACTTGTAGAGGAAGAGAGGGAAACTTGTTTGGTTTTACAGATTGTTTTGAACATGGAAGTTTGGTAATTAAAAAAAAATTCTTTATCAGTTTGAGTGCAAATACTGCCAGCATGTAAAATGAAGTTGCTGTTTGCAAGGGAATGCAGAATTTTCTTAAAGCAGTGTTGTCAGCTCTGGATCTGTGTGAAAGCCTTTGCAAGGAACATTATCTTTTAATTGAAACTCCATATCCCAAAGATACTATTATTTGAGGTTTCCTTAATACTTCTGTCTTTAATTTACAAAGTAATTGTATTCAGCACAATGTTACTTGTCCTAAATGTTTGCTTGGCACTCTCCATTAAGTTTAGTGCAGAGCAAGAACATCTTCCTCTTTCAGAAATTCCTTTGAATAGAGAGCAGGTGATATCTCTTGCACTCACTTTTTGCAATTGCTTGTGTACAGTAGGCACTGCACAGTACAGATGTGCAGTTTCTTCTGAGCAAAGCAATTTCCATACCCGTGGCACCACATTGCTACGTTAGGTGCCTGTTTGGATCTAAGAAGGAGCAAGTGCACTAAGCTAGGGGTACAAGCACCAGTCAGAAGTGGCTGGACACCTCCTGGCTGCTCTCTGATCTGCTCGGCTGTTAGGCAAAGAAGTGGCACAGCTGTGTGTGTGCAGCAGTGAGGAGAGCAGTTGCCTGGCGTATCAGTTTATCAGGCCGTGGTGGAGGCTGCAGTGTGCAGGCTGTATTTTCAGAGCTCTTGGTATCTGAGCCATTGGAGCCACAATTGTACCTCGGGGTGTTGTGCAGCCGCCTCTTCCTACAAAGGCAAAACTGTCATTACCTTAATGTCTGTTGCGTTCCCTGTACTTTCCATCTAGTTAGTGTGCTGGGGGATGAAAAAGCCTTTACGAATATTGAAATGGTGTTACTTGATGCTGCTGACAAGACATTAGTCTCTGAGATTACTGCCAGTTGTGTTGTGCTTCTTTTCAGACTGGAGTCAGCGGAAGACAGGGAAGGTGATTGTTGTTTCCTGTGGTCTCCTTGCCCTTTAGCTGCGAGGCTTCACTAGCAGTTTGGCTTGCTTCAATTAGGTTAGAACTGTTTTCTGTCATTACCCAGGCAGCACGCTCGAAGCCGAGCATACACTTTGTTGCAGAGCTCAACAAGAGAATTAGTGTGGATTATCTGCGTCGAGCGGCTGGTGATGGAAGTGAAGCGTGTGCTGCCATGCTACAAAATGCAGTTTATTACTCAAATTTGATCTGAATCTTTTGGCTAGGATTTCTGCTGCTAGCCCTCTGTCTTGGATTAGCTCCCAAACTGGTTATAAGCTTTGAAGATGGGTTTACTTAGGATCTCTTCTCCTGATGCTTTCTGACACAAACTCTACAGAATGCAGCCTCCTGTGTGTGATGGGCAGGGATGTGCTCTGTCGTGCTTTCGCTCTTCAAGACGGAGTTGGGACCCTGCCCAGGATGCAGCGTGTGCTAAGGGGCAAGTATGCATGGTAGTGGTCAAGGCATGGACAATTACTTTCTTGGCAGTTCTCAGAAGGTTTGAGAAGCTATCTCAGGCTGTAGTTCTTGGAAGACAATAGTTTCTCTGACCTCTCTTTTGTTTCCTTGAAAAAAGAAGCACTTTAGCACCCGTGGATGCTGTTTTTTTTTTTTTGTTTGTTTGTTTTTTGTTTTTTTTTTTGTCTTTTTCCTCTGTTGTTGTTCAGGGCTTGTATGTGTTTAGATAAGAGAATCTGCCTCTACCTGCTGCAGTATTCATCCAGGCGAAGGATGAATGGGTTTTTATAAGGGAAAATCTGTTGCAAGGCCTTCCAGAAGGATCTCTGCCAGTTCTTTGTTCACTTCTTAATTCCTAACCTCTTTGAATTCAACCGCTGTTCTCCAGCTGCATTGCCACTCCTCAGTGTTTTCTTCCACTGATACTACAGATGGCATTTCTGCTGCTGCTACTTCATGCTGCCACCTCTTCTGTCTTCTGTAATAAAAACAATTAGTAAAAGCAGTGTTTTCTGTTTCTCTGAAGTGGGAAGCCAAAAAAGAATACCTGGGAACAAAGTCCAGCCCATCCTTGATGGGGACAAGGCATGTTCCCCTGCGCACTGCTTCCTGAGCCTTGGCTCTGTGAGTAGCTGAAATACAGCATTTGGAGCCTGAACAGGAGGGCTGTCTCTTCTCAGCTACATCTGTATCGCTCTCATCACTTGGAGGCGTTTGTTTTAACTTACAGGTATATGAGACCAAGCATGTGTGTATCCAGGACTCAGCTCTGACGTCAAGATCAGCAGCACAATGAATGTTTGTATCAGGAGAATTTTTGCCCAGAGCCTTCTTACAAAGTCTAGAAAGCAGCCATATGTGGCAGTGAAATACACTTACCTGTTTGGGCTTTTGCTTTAGGGGCAAAAATATGATTATCTACTGTATTCCAAAAATATGAGGCACGTTGGTCTGTGTTGTGCTCCTAAATGCTACTGCCTTTATAAACAGAGTGCTACCAGAATCTTGTGGAAACAGAAAGAAAAACTGAAGATGTGAAGTCTAGAATCAGATGCATGATGATTTCTCATAGGGGAACAGAGAATGCCCATACATGCAACCTTCAATTGTAATTGCACCCTCGATGCTTAAATGTGCAACTCTTACAATTCCCACCTGCTTAGCAGGTGGAAGTGCAAAGGAAGTTTGGTGTGGAGCACTGAGTAATTCAGTGCTCAGCCAGACCACTGGATACAGCTCAGCCTTCTTTGCTCCTGCTGCTGCTTTATATAGCTTTGCACTGCGATCTGTTTTATATGGTACTGATTTAAAGTTGTCATAGCGGGTTTCTCATCTTGTGGGCTGTGAGTTGACTCGTTGTGAAAACTGCTGCTTGAAGGCAAAACACTGAAAAATGCAATTTTGACAAGTATCTTGTTGCTGTTATGCGGAGGGCATAAATATCATTTCATTTAGTTCACTTTGGGGAAAGTGTTACAATCTCACTATCATTTATTTCCATTATCCTAAGAAGTCACACCTTGTGTAAAGGTGACCTCTGTAGTCTTTTGTTTAATGTGCCTCCAACCATTTTTTTTAGGATGTGAAGTTAGAATACGCTGTAGCAAAAGCTGTCCAGCAAAAGCTGTCCAGAAAGCTGGACAGGCGCAATTCTTGCAGTGCTGCTACAATGGGAAGTTGTCATAAGCTGTGTGCTCTGCCCCAGCCTTTCTTTCCTAAGGAAGTGCTTGAGTGTGCAGGATGTCTCTTTATCACAATGCCAGGAAAGTAGCAACTCCCTTTCCTTTTATCTAGCTGTGATTTTGGGCACTCCTTGTTTTCTCAGTTGCTTGTACTTTTTCTCAGAGCTTGTACTTTTTCTGCCTTGAGGCTGTGCTTCTAGATGTATAATTTTCCCAAATCCTGTAATTAAGGGATTCTTGGAATTGAGGAGCCCACAGACTTGGAGAAGGCTGAGGAAAGGGAAGGAAACGAAGTAGTAAGTGTTGCTGGCATTCTCTATGCCAAACTGCTGGGGATATGTCAAGGCTTCTTATAGGCTTATAGTTAGATGAATTCACGAGAATCAAGCGAAAGGGACATGTGGAAGCAGAGGTATACTGACCGCTTCCAACACAGAGCTGTGTGTATGAGTGTGCTGGGGTTGGTGGTTTCTCGAGTTACCACCAACTTTCTTGTCATTTTTGTCAAGACAAAACTTTGGCAGTTTTGTCACGATTTTGCAAGTTCAGCTGAATGTTTCGGGGTTGCTCTTAAGGTAAATTTTTCAAGAGAAATAACGAAGCTTTACTAAGTGCTGCAGATTCAGTCAGTAGCAGCTTTTGTCACTTGTCATGTGTGCTTCATCAGTGCCCTGTAACTTGTAGCTGATGGGGCTTTTCCAGATCCAGTGCAAAACTGCGGCTTGTCTGACTCATCTCATCTGACTAGTCTCTAGTCCTGAATTAAAGTATCCTGGAGGTTCTGTCATGCTTTGTCCTGCATATTGCTTTGTTCAGTGTTTGGTGTTTGTTTGAATCCTTGCATTTTGACCCAAGCTGTTGTGTTACTAGTGTGCTTGCTGTTGCGTAGCATTCTGGGATGTTCGTGTGTTTAGATAAATTTAGGTGAATTTCTTTCTCAAAAAAAAAAAGAAAAAGAGAAGCAGTTTATTAGCAACCTTGCAGTTTAAAAAGTGCTACAGAAATAACTGCACTATTTATTAACCCTTCCCTTGCTGCTTATTTCCTTCCCTCTTCAGATTACATGCTGACGGTGGAGGCGGTGAAACTGAAGCCGTTCTTTGTGGCAGGCCACACCTTTGAGATGACGTGCAAAGTGTCTTCAAAAAACATCAAGACGCCACGCTATTCAGTCCTCATTACAGCAGAGAAACCGCTGGCAGATCAGTCAAATCCCAATGGAACCACTCGCATAATTTCCTTAAACCAGGACTCGGTGGTGCGGCTGGAAGACTGGACGGACCAGACTCGTGTGGATGGTGTGGTTCTGGAGAAGGTCCAGGAGAACGAGTTCCGCTACAGGATGTATCAGACCCAGATTTCAGATGCTGGGCTGTATCGCTGTGTGGTCACTGCCTGGTCTCCGGGTGGTGGTGGCATGTGGCGTGAAGCAGTGAATGGCTTGTCCAACCCTATCCAGATAGACTTCCAGACATCAGGTTGGTATTGTATTTGATGAGCATGGGTTTTATCCAAAAAGGGAGAAAGTCCTGTGACGCTCTTCCAGTGGCTTTCCTGTCTCTGGGAAATAAACTGTTCTGGAAATCCAAAGGCTCTCCAGATAGTGTGATGGCTGAGAGCTTTGTTTGTCTTCTTTGGTGGTACTTTTGTCTTCGGAGCTATAGGCTGTTTACAGAAAGACATCTGATAAACTAGTTACAGTCATAATCTACGGATTTACCTTTACTATGCAGGTTTTATGATCTTGCAGACTCAAAGCTCCAGCATAGAATAATTGCTGCCGTATTCTCCAACTTCATTACTAGATTGCAATTATGTAACAATCTTTTTGGAAGAGCATTAATATAAACTGGTTTTGTTCCAAAACAAAATTGATTAACATAGTATTACACACCTTCTTGTTGATGTAATTGCAGAAAATGCTCAGGTTAAGGCGATGGTGGTGTTCCAGCAAGCTCAGCAAGTAAAGACTGTATGGAAGACTACAAAGGCCTCTTGTGCAAAGCTCCACAAGTTGGAATAAATTTCAGTATCTACATGGGCATCCTGTTCCCCACATCCTTGCCCATTTTCACCTGTAATATACTCCGCCTCGTGAGATTTTCCTAGAGAAGTGTGCCTGTCCTGGTATATTTTTGGGCCAAGAGGGAGTGGGGCAGAATTGGTTTGGATCATCAGAGATGCATGTTAACACTGACTTCTATCGCGCTTTGGAGTTGGGAACTGCTGTGGAATTGTTTGGGTTTTTTAAAGTGGTGTGGCACTCTGTGAGGGAGAGACTTCATGATTTCTAAACCAATCTTGCACTTCTTGAGTGCTTTTGAAGAGCTCTCAGTGTAGCCGAAGGGTACGTCCTTTTTTTAGAGCTCTCTGGCCGGCTGCTTTATCTTGAACCTGTGTTCCCTTGTTCCAATTCATAAGCACAACTGGGGTGAAAGTCTCTCTTTACTTTCTTCATTCTTCATCTGAGTTATTCTGCATACAATAATGGGCCTGTTTTCTGAAGATGTGGCCGTGGCTAGGCTAGAGCAGCTTGACTTCTGGTTGCCTCGATAACTAAGGTAACTGTTCTCCACTGGGTGATTTATAAAAACAAAATTTATAAAAATTTTATAAAAAATAATTTTATAAAAATTATTTTCATAGCAGATGCACAGGAATGAGTGCAGTAGCTTGGCATAGGGGCAGCTGTGCAACAAAGACTTCACTTTATGAAACATTTTGAAGTGCATCGTCCTGATAGAAACCCTAAGAATGTTACAGCCTAGCCTGAGCTGGTTGGAGAGAAGTCAGAGACTCAGCTTAGTGCCTATTTCAGTTCCAGATCATCCCTTGTTTAATGTTACGGTAAATAACATTAAATAACCCATATGCCTGTGTTCCGAATTTCTCTTGGAGTGACACTGTCATGGCTGAATATTGCTGTAGATTTGTTACCGTTTTGAGAGGGTTTAATGGACTGTAGCTTCAGCCTTACTATTCTTGAAACTTGAGTAAGACAGGAGAGTGAGGCTTGCAAAGACTTGATGCAGGAAAAACCAGCAAGAATTAAATCTGTTCCAAACCCCTCCCCTCCAAGGTCTTAGATGGAGGCTTTCCTCCACAAAGGTTGTGGTTAGTGACTCTCTCAACGTTATTTGCATTATGTCACTTTGAAATCTCATCCAGAAAGTTTGGCAAGATGCTATTAATATCCATGGTTCAGAGGGAAACCTGTAAGCTATGCAAGGGAGGGAAGTGAGCGTGCTGCAGTCTTGATTTCTTTTTGCTGTCAGTTTCTACTCCCTCCCTCTTTGACCAGATAGGATTTCCAGCGCATGGAGTGAATGAAGAAAGGGAAGCAGCCTTCAGTGCTGCCCTGGGAATGTGTGAATTCCAGTGGCAGAGCTGAGCAGGGGGGAGGGATGGTTCTGAAATCCAGTCAGCCGTTCTTCTTTACAAGAGAGTGAAGACAGAAATGAGAACCCAGGCACAATTTACTGGAGAGCCATTTCCCAAAATAATCTTGGCGTGCGGCAAAATCTGGCTTGAAATACCTTTCTTTCTACAATTGATGGATGAACTTTGTGTCCTTGAGTAGTTACTCAGATCTCCATGCTGGACATTCATCAGCGGGCGTGATGGTGACACGTGACGAGCACAGTTAGAATGGATGCTGGCAGACTTGCTTCTCTAATCACATACCCTTCTTTCCCCACATTTTCTGCTTGTCTCCAAAGTAACGTTACATGTGTAAAGGCAGCTGTGCTTTCTTTCCCTTAGCCTTGCTCATCTGTTGTGTCCTGTTACTCTGATCTGGGCTCAAACAGGCCAGTAGAAATTAAAAATAAATAATTGTAACTAGATGTGCAAGACAGAATTTGTTTTGTGTGTGTTATCTTACATCACTGTTCGCTAAGGTGTACTCTTTTTGATGTAAGCTGTGACCAAACTGTGACTAGGTCAAGGGAGCCAGAGGTAAATGGCAAAGCTGTGGAGCAGCTATTATAGTACAGCTCAGATATCATACCCTTGTCTTGCATCTCATGGTACAGGCAACTGTCAGATTTGTTCTCCAAATGAAGAACTTGGTGCCAGATTTTTTTCTAATGGGAATGGTGTAAGACAGAACTGCTGAAGTTGCTGGGGTATTCTGGGGATAAAGGAAGTTCTCCAAAACTGGAGGGAAGATGTTAATAGGAAAAGGGTCAGAGAAAGCAGAGAAAGCCATGCAGTATTTGAGTAAATAACAGGTGAGAAGCACATTTCTGTTGGATCCTGAGTTCAGTGGGGATTTGTGATGAGCGGTTTACGAAAGTGTTTGTCTCTTATAGTGATTGTCTTGTTAACAGTTCTCCTGACTTTAAAGATCCCGAAGTGTAGCAGAATGGTAAGCATGACTGTTGAGAAGACATCATAATGCACTATAATATCAAAATTAAAAGGTATTCCTGCCTTCCCTCTACTTTGAGGGCTTGATCTTATCCAACATTTTCAGTTTGCACCATGTTGGGGGGGGGGATGAGGGGCAGAATGGATCAATATGGAAGTAGCATTTTCAGAAGAAGGAAGTCCTTATAAGGTTTTACATGAATGTTTTAGTGGTGGGAGGAATTTCTTTCTCTTACGTTTTTATTGATCCCTCTTTGGCAGGGGGTGTGGAGGCTTGGGCTCGAAATCCTTCCTTCTAGTCTGACTCCCTCCCAGATCTCCGAGTTGTAATGCTTCAATGAAAGGTTTTTAGTGTGTGCACACGTTCTGCAATGTGACTATCTGAAAGGCAGGAGGTCTGTAAGCTTTTTACATACGTATATATGAGCTGGGCACTGCGCACATGAAACTTCAGGGTTTCCTGCCACAATAGGCTTGAAATGCGGCAGCACGCTGAAATGTTTTTCCATGAACATCTGTGGAAAATGTCTTGCTCAGATTCTTTCCATTCAAGGCAGAGCTTGCTGGCTGCAAGCAGACACCTCCTCTCCTTTCTCCACTTGTTGTTGCAAAGGGACTTATTCATTCCATTTTAGTTTATGATCTGAAATGTTAATGTAGAGACATTTACTTGAAATGTCCTGAACTTAAAAAATTAGAAGTCGGTTTTGTCTGCTGAATTATATAAACTGGGACTTGGGGGGAGGAGAAAGAGGAGCCTAGTAAGCCATTAGTTTTCATATTTTCAATCAATGGCAGATTGTTCTCTGCTGGATGTATTTTAAGACCAGACGGGATCTTGAGAATCCTCTGGTTCAGCCTTATGAATGACGAGGATCACTAGAACAGCTTTATAAAATGAATGCCTGCTGTACATCTAGGAACTCTAAGCAAACTAAGCTGGTTCTGGGGAGAGTCAGGAGGAAGCCAATCCCGTATGAAAGCTTTAAGAAATATTCTTCTGCACTGCTTTTTGGTCAGCTCAGTTTCAAACAGAAGTTCTACCATCCCTTTTCAAGGGTTGCCAGCAACCTTGTCTCGAGATTTTTTCTTAATTTCATTGCTGAGTCTGTGAACAGGTATTTGGTATAAATGGTTCCAGCTTGCCTGCATCTGTTTCATCTGTTTTTCTGTTGTTGTTTTGGCTTCTTGGTTGTTGTTTTTTTTTTTTGTTTTGTTTTGTTTTGTTTTTTTTTTTTTTTTTTTTGTTTTTTAATGCTGAAGCACCTGGCCTCTGTGAAATCCACTTAGTTTATCCTGGAGTTATATGTTTTTCTTTGGCATTCAATCTTTAATTTTCTATCCCTCTCAGACTGTACCCAGCAACCCAAGTTAGTGTTCAGGTTGCCTTTGCCCTCTATCCGCTCACAGGGATTTCCACAAAAGTGACTTATTTTCCTTTGCCTTGAGGGAAGCAGGAAGAAGGAAGCTTTTAATTTTGTATACAGAAATATGTTATGAGGGAGAACCATTTGGAGCTTGGCTATGCTCACAGCTGGCTTCATCTGTGCCATTCAGCAGAGGGCAAATAGCTCTGGAGAAGCAAAAATGAAAGAGAACTCTAAGGGAAGCATCTCAATGAAATCTTCAGCTCTGGATTACATCTTCATGTGAGCTCATTGCTCAGCAATGCATTATCAGTCTCTGGAAGAAGCTGAGATAAACTAAGCTGCGGAAATATGAGCTAAGTATTGATGTTGAACTTGCAATTAAAATGATGCCCTGCAATGACCCAGGGAGATGCTCAGATGCAAGAAAGTAGATTAGAAAGGTTCTTAAAGGAAAGAAATCTTAATCATGGGAAAGAATGAACAGGAGGAGTACAGCAGAAACTATTTGGCAAGAGAGACTGGTATTTTCCAGCCACAGCTAATGGGCAAGAGTGTGCTTTGTCATTGTGTGTCTTTGTGTCTGTGTGCATTAATTCTGGAAGTAGAAACCACAGACTTAAACTACTGGGGTCTTCTCCCAGTAATGGCTATTTTGAGGCTTTGGGGTGAAACTTGTTGGGGAACAGCTTTGTAAAAGAAGCCGGGAGAGGGCTGAAAGGAAACGGTGCGGGTGAAGG